CACAGCGAAGCGTTATCCGATCGGCTCAGGTCTTCGTCTTCGATAGAAATTGGAAACTGCTTAAAGTCAATATATTTGGAATACGAGTGCCGAATAGCAGGCTTGCGAATTATTTGGCTCGAATTGCTGGCGGAGGCTTCGTGTGGGAAGGATAGAAGAAACTAGCCTCCCCCATCTGGAACCCTAGAGGAGCCGGACAGCCGGTCTCTGTTGCGGCTCATGAAGATGTACCAGTGACGCGGGAGTAAGGTAGGATCTGGTACACAGTGCAGGATTCAAAAAGGACTTGAGTGATCAGAGGCAATGGAATCCTCGCCTCCCCGCTGGAGATTGCGCCGAGGGTAACCCTCGCTGTCTTTTACCCTAATTTTTCAAAAGTACTGTACTTGCCAACTAGAAGTTTTCCTGGGGTCCGATAATTGGCCGGGCTATCGACACGTCCTCAGGCAACTTGAACCGTTTGTCAACAGCGGTGGCAACTGCCCCTCAGGGGGAAAGTGCCTGGCTGCCCTGCCATGAACATAATGACTCCAAATTCAGCATTGCATCGATGCAAGATTAAGGGGAATTCGCCACTACATTGTTCTTGTCGTTATTAGTGGTCTCGACGAGTTCAGAGGGGAGCGAACAGCACTCTTCGAAGATCCCAAGCTGGTCCGACATGACGGTGGATGATGGGTCATGGTATGCACACTTGCCACTTGACTATCCTGGATTATCTCGAGGCTTACAAACCTAAAACGCAACGATAGACATTGTTCCATCGATCGAACTTCAACTCTACCGCTTGACCAAAGTCGCAGCGTTTCGGGGCCGATACGGAGCCGATAGGGTGGTATCCTCCATGCTCATGGGTTGCCATCACTATACGAAAGTCTTGCGGACCAAGTGTGCTGGCAGAGGCTAGAATTATCTGGCAAAGCATCAAGAAAGTGCTCGATTGTACAATATCCAGTAATCGTCCAAACAGCATCACGAGTGACCGGAGTAGACAACTCCTGCGACCGCCGAGAAAGCTAGCACATCGAAGAAGCCCGCCGAAACTCGAGAAACTCAAGTATGAGCAAGCGGAGAAAACCCTCTCGCTCAGACTGAAGAGATTATACCATTGTATTTCTCTTTGTGCCGTCCTACGTTCGATCCGGTCGGTGTGTGACGACTTCGACTCCCTAGTGGACCCTCTCGCGCACCGGCCGCCGAGCCCCGAAGCAATATCCAAGAATCCGAGCAGGACATGAGCAGGTCTCCACCTTGACTCTTGCAGGCGGACCAAAGAATGCTCCGCCTCGGACCATGAGTTGAAAACGGCTGGATTCGCACTCCGGCATTACCATTGAATAGTCGACCCGACGGGCTTTGATGGCTCAACAGCACCACGGACGAACTCCAAACCGCACGACATTTTCGAAGAATTCATCGATGCATTATCAATATATAAAGTCAGCTTTTGGAGGCATCCAGATCGCAGTTGATCCAGGAATACAAGGCTCGACACTCGGAAAGATAATCTAGATCAACAACTCCAACATGGCTGATCAAAATCAAACAACCCCAGAAAAAACACTCCCGGTGGTCCACCGCTACATCACCACCCACGACGAGTCTGGAAATGCAACATTCAATACCGGGGTCAGCGAGGAGATTGAATTTGAGCGCTCGCCTCTCGGTGCAGACATGTTCCTTTCTTACAGCAGCAATGCTTTCCCAGCCCCCCTTGCTCATGACGCCGACCTTGACACATACAAGGGCCACCTTGTCAAGAAGCCGGAGTCTTTTATGATACCAAATGGCTTCGTCTCGCGCTACATCGACTATCACCCCGGGGCTCCGCCTCTGTGGCATCGCACCATCACTCTCGACTTCGGCGTTGTAATTGAGGGTGAGATCCAGCTCGAGCTGGAAAGTGGAGAGAAGAGGATCTGTTAGTCTTCCCATTTCCCAGTTTATTTGCACAATCTTTTGTCCCTTACTAAATGTTGGTGGCTGGATCGTCTGTATGCCTATCACTAACTTAACCCGGAAACATAGTGAAGAAGGGTGACGTTGTGGTTCAGCGAGCCACTAACCACGCCTGGAGCAATCCAAGCAAGACTGAGTTTGCACGGGTATTCTACGTCGCACTCGATGCTACAGCTCCGGTCGTCAATGGGAAGGAGTTGGCTGAGTCGTTGGGCGTCGTATCTCACAAATAGGCAGATAGGCAGCCAGTGCCCTTAGTCCTCAGGCTGAGATCAAAACTAGGGTAGATAAATCGAAAATGAAGTATTCATATATGAAATGACCCAATGTCTTTCAATATAGTAGATTATTGTATCAACTGATTATATTCAATTACAATGCAACAATAGAAATGCGTCTAGGAGACTTTATTACATAGCGAGGCCCCCAAGTGTATACCTACTACCTAGGTAGATAGAATGATGTAGAAAGGAGCTGCAGAATATTCTTCAAAAGATGGCTTGGAGTAGGTAGGAGCAACCTCCGTGAAATGACAAAAAAGAAATCAAAAGGAAGGGAAGGAAAGTAGAGACAGTGGCATCTCGTTCAGTTGAATGACACGTTGAAGCAGACTCATGCCTGGAATCACGCCACAGTCAAACACCTGAAGAAGGCGCGAAGGCGCTCAGTTGGTGTGCGTGCGTCCGTGTGAACAACTCGGGCTTCGGCCGCCGAGGCGCGAGTTTCTTGTTTTCCTCCACTACACTCTCCAGTAATCAACAATTTCCCCCGCCCCCAGCTCTCTGATTTATCAGCTGAAATCAATCTCTTCTGCTGACTGCTCCATCTTTTCGGATCAACATTCCACCATGTTTCTGAGCTTCCTATTGCCAGTCGGTACATTTGTCCGGCGCCAGCTTAGACCACCCTCTGCATCCGCTCAGCCAGGACCAACAAGCCAAGAGGATCAGCCACAAGCCGGCAATATTAAAGAGGCGTCTGTTGAGTGAGAGAATTCCACCCAGAAAGCCCTTCCGTCATTGGTTCTAATAAAGCCATTGATTACCAGTTATTTCAACCTCCCCCGAAGAAACGGCAGCGAGCATCCAAGATCATCAACTATGTCAGGTTCTCCGTTGAGCGAACCAAGCGAGACTCTCGACCCTGCGAGAGCGGCCGCCGTAGCCGTCAATCCTGAGAACAAACAAAACGGTGGGGCCTACGTGACGTGGAGCGGGCTCGATGACCGAGACAACCCCCAGAACTATTCCATTCCTCGCAAGATCTTCATCACATTCATATGGGTGTATGGAAATCTGGTGGTTGCCATTGCCAGCAGCATCTGGAGCAGCTGTGCTGCAGCCATCAGAGAAGAGTTCCACACCAGCAACATTATCGTTACTCTGGGTGTCAGCTTGTTCCTCGTGGTAAGTTCTATGTATTCTGTACCAATGAACCCGACGACTGACTATCTCTTCGCACTTCCCTAGGGTTACGCACTGGCTCCTCCAATTTGGGGGCCACTGTCTGAAAGATTTGGACGCAAGTGGCCGATGACTCTCGGCATGTTCCTCTACACAGTCTTTTGCATCCCCGCCGCGGTCGGCACCAACCTCGAGACGCTCCTCATCGCTCGCTTCTTCCAGGGTGCTTTCGGATCCGCAGCTCTTGCCCTTGTTGGTGGTGGTATTGTGGACATTTGGAGTCCCGCGCATAGGGGCGTGGCAGTCGCCGCCTGCATCGGCACCATCTTCGGGTCCCCCATTCTTGCCCCCATCATCGGCAACTTCGTTGAAGAATCATACCTTGGCTGGCGCTGGACCCAATGGATCAGCTGCATCATGGGCGGATGCGGGTTCTTCTTGTGCCTCTTTTGTCTTCCCGAGACACTGGCTCCCATGATCCTAAACGCTCGCGCTCTCAAGCTCCGCAAGAGCGGAGAGGACCCAGACGCCAGGACGGCCTATGGCAACACGAAGCAAGCGAGTCTCGCCAGTATCGTGCGCATTTATCTCGTACGTCCCTTTAAGCTCCTGGCTACAGAACCAATTCTGCTCCTAGTTACCATATACCAATCCTTCATCTACGGCATGCTGTACCTCGTCTTCGTATCATACCCCATTGCCTTTCGCGAAATACGAGGTTGGGCACCTGGTATCAGCGCCTTACCTTTCCTAGGCCTCATGGTGGGCGTCTTGATCGGTGCCGCCTTCGTCGTCTGGCACACCAAAACGAGGTTCACGGCCGCTGTCCAGGCCAGCGGAGGAAGGATCGTCCCGGAGCAGCGTCTCCCGCTCATGATCGTAGGTGGCTGTCTTCTTCCCGTGGGCTTGTTCATATTTGCCTGGACCTCGCACCCGACTACACATTGGGCCGGCATGGTCGTCGGCAGCATCCCGACCGGCATGGGCATGTACATGGTGTTTGTCCAGTGCTTCAACTACCTGATCGACGTGTACGCGCCCATCGCGAACAGTGCCATTGGTGGGAACACCTTCATCCGCAGCTTTTTCGGTGCTGGCTTCCCGCTCTTTGGACCTTACATGTACCACAATCTGGGTGTGGACTGGGCAACGAGCACGCTTGGCTTCATCAGCATTGCCATGATCCCGATCCCGATTCTCTTCTACAAGTATGGTTACAGAATTCGATCATGGTCCAAGAATTCTATCAACACTGTCTAGTTTCGGGGGGTTTGTTCAGGAAAGGTAAAAACTTTTGTTAGTCTTTAATTTTTTTTTTCTTTACAGTAGCCTAGAGTATCATGGCCTCCTGGATCGTTATCTATTGGAATCGGAAGTTATCGTTAAAGCTCGGAGCATATCCATACCGGAAAGGGAACAGTCTTCGCTTATCAGATATGATTTATTTGTAAGGCAGTCAAATGAATACCAAGATATCTCACAGTGCTTCTATCCCCCCCACAAAGGGCACGTTTCTCTTAAGGTTGTGTTATAGGTAGTAAGTTTTGCTGGCACTACTATAGTTTTATCCTTTTTGTCTTCATAACTCAAGGCGAAATTCATGGTATGTATTGATCCTGCAAACTTATGCATTCGACTTTATGTCGCCTTTGATGACCGAGCAAACCAACCCAAAAGGCTAGCCAAAGTGCCCTGATTTAGCTTATCCATTTTTCTAGCCGCCTCGCTCTCACGAAGTGCGGTTATATCATGACCATCTCTTTCAAAAAGATCCAAGGCATTGATCCATGAATTATAGTTTGTCTTTGATGGCAGCCCGCCGGCGTCGATTAGAAGCATACATTTTGAATATCTCGATTGGATAGTCTGCTGTGGGCCCATAGGTCTTATATGCTGAAAGTCCAATGCATAATCCAATGGAGTGCGGTCTTCTAAATTGAGGGAGTTTGGGTCTGCACCATACTCTAGCAGCCTGTTTGCCAGTTTTGGAGGCCCCAAATGCAGCGCAGGCCCATATCCCCGTATCTCGGGATTTGGATCCTGCCCATGTTCTAGAAATAGCTCGATTGCCTCGTAGAGTTGTTGTAACGGTATGTCAGCTTCTGTGCCTTCACCCCCCTCGATGGCACAGATGTCTAGAACCATCGTGTTGAAAAGTCCGGGCTCGTGGTCAACGCCATATCCACTAGTCAAAAGCCCTCGAGCCATAGATACTCGCCTCATGTAATATCTAGACTTGTCTGGCTCTGAAAGAAATTGTGGCAAATTATATGGGCGATATAAGAGGCTGCTGATCAATAACAAGGAGTGTTCAAACTGGAAGAGACGGTCCAGCTGGCGAGGGTGCCGTTTGGTCCAGTCTCGGAGGCATAGGCTCAGTCCATAACGAGCCACTAATGACAAAAGACCAGTCTCTAAGTTGTTGAAGACGTCCATACCTAGAAGACGAATGACGATCAGAACGGGAAGGGAGATGATAAAGTCCAACTGGCTGATGCCCGTCGTGAGCTCAGCTTGCTCAGCATGGTAGGCTACTATCCCGCCATCCTCTGGTTTGGAGTCGTGAACCCCTAGCATGCACTTGTACTTGAAATGATAAGAATGCCCGTTCTCAGCTACAAGGTTCGCAAGATTTCCCAGCACCATCTCCTTGAACGAGTCTCGCATGACAAATTCCAAAACGGTTTGGTGCATCACTTGAACGAACCCTTGTTGTGTCTCGACTAACCCGCCGCTCCAGATGGCGATGTCAGTCTTTTGCCTTTGATTTTCCGATCCCTCCCCCATTGAATGTTCGTGTTCTTTGTTTTTTAGAGTGCTAGCTGCTTTCTGATAGCTGCTACATAGAGCTATCCGCACAGCCTCCCAGACATAAAGAAGGGTAAGAGGTTTATCATCGTCTTTATGGCGAACAACCAGTTCAAGAAGTACATAGGTACTCTGTCGATAAAAACTACTGATACGTTCGATTATCAGCTGATAAAAGCCATCAAGATCTTCCGGCAGTTCGTATATCCTCTTCTCCAGCTTTTCTCTCAACAGAGGTCCCGTGCTCCGGGGCAGAATATCAACAAGCTCATTGATGGCGAGCTTGACCCACAGAAATACTCCGTTGGCCCTTCCAAGAATGATAGGAGTGAGTTCTAGAATACCAGGATAGCTGATACGGTATGGTAACAATGTTCCAACGCTGTAGGTTTCAATGTCATGGCCTGTGTGGTCTTGCATACAGAGATTGGGACACTCCAAGAAGTGACGTTTGAAGGTCTCCCAAGGCCGACTTGAGAAGCATACCTTGACTCTAGTCTTTGAAGCATCTCGAAATTGAGTGAGGCTTTTTAGAAATCTGCTGATCATGTCGAGGTGACCATCGAATTCGTCAAGTGCGTCGAAGAATAGGAGCAGATCCATTCTCATGATATCATGGTCCAGAATATAGCACAAGGCTCTTTCCAACTTGTTCAGAAACCCATCCTTGCCCCATTCCTGGAACAGTGCTGAAAGTTCTAGGAGAAATTGGTGCTGAGGTTGTACGCAGACTTGTCCAAACTCCTTGGCAAGGCTGGTCAGTTCCTTCCCAATATCTGAGAGTTCCGCTTCTGCCTCATTTTTCTCACCAGCAAACTTTTCAACATCAACACCCCCCTCTCCCCTCTCAGCTTGCCCCAAAGAAGCATTTGCATTCTTGAGCTGGGTCACCCAGGTTGACTCAGATGCTTTCAATGATGCTCTCGTTTGCCAACGCCTCTTGGCTACCTGAAGCTCCGGGGAGAGGAGCTGGATCAGAAGACTTCTGAGCAATCCTTCCATGGATTTTTGGACACTGCTCCCACGATAGTGGAAAAAGAAACTGGCCCTGACTTCTCTTACTCCATATGAACCTCTTCTCCAGTCGTGAACGAGCTGCCATGTATTCTCACTCTCGTAGATGTACTTCATTAATGTGGATTTTCCCGAGCCGGGCTTTCCATGTATCCAAAAAAGGCCAGATCCTTCTTGAAGCCAGTTGCAAAATACGGGCTGCTCAAAGATCCACCGAAAGGTATCGTTATATGGGTTCTCAATTTGTTCGATGCGGATGTTCAACTCAGGGGAGTCAAGTTCCTCGTACATATCTTCGCACGTGATTAGTTTCGACATATGGGCACGCTTTGTGATGGCAAGCTGACTAACTTTTCGCTGGTTTATCAAGCTTATCCATCTCTGTGACCATTGATCTATCTTGATACGAGATGTAAGTGAATTCTGGCGTCTTGTCTTCATTTTGGAAATGGCCTGGCAGTCCGGCCAAATTATGTAATTGCGATGTCAACATTGGAGAATCATCATGGTATTTTCCCGAACATAGTCTGCGCAAAGTTGCGATGATTGCTGGTAAGGTGGCATTTCCTCTTGAAAATTTGACCATGTTAGAGTGGTCTTCATCGATCGGAATGGTCACTGTTTCATCATCGACATCGTGGTGGCACGTTGCCGAGTCGGGATTGACCAAGAGGGCAAGGGGTCCGTCCTTGTTCCATTTACCATTGGGAAGCTTCTACTTATGATGAATAAGGTCAGTATTGGCCAAATCAAACTTATGAATAGATCATTAGAGAGAGGAGAGGAATCTGACCTTCGGGGTTGGTGTCTCTTTGGTCTCATATGCCCAATAAATCAGAATATGTCGAACGAATATGAGACCGTCAAAGCTCTCGTGTAGTGGCTTCAGGTAAGAACCTACATTGCGACGAGACAAGTCTTGTATCAAGGCGTCGTTTGCTTGGTGCTTGGTCATCGCCATCAAATGAGACACTTCCATGCCGAAATTGGGTACACCGAACATAATAGCCCCTTTGATCTTCTCAAGAATAGGGATCTTGTTATTTGCCATTAGTACGATTGCTTGTTTCAGAACAAGACCTCCAAGACTATGCGCGAGAAACACGAGAGGCTTCGCAGACTCGAGGTTCCATCCGCCTGGGTCTAATTGATGGACAAAGCAACGAGCAATGTCCTTAATTGTTTGGAATGAGGTGGTATTGATGAGATTTGAATCGTAGCCGTAGACGATGGTTCGAACACCTGGTATACACCGAGGAATCTCATCTCTAATCCACATAAAGCTCTTGTCGGGGCCTCGGGGCTGCCATGAGCCAAAGGCATGACTGCTCAGCCCTGAAATGGCGATACAGCTGGTTCAAAATAGTGAGCCCCGAAACTATTGAAACGCAAATAAGGGAAATACTTACTCCGTCTGGTGGACGCTGTCGCTTCTCGCGCTCAGTGACTGGGTGGAAGAAGCCCTTTTGAGGACCAACAATGAAATTATTTGCGTAAGTAAAGGGGCGGCGTCTTGCGTTGTAGCCCAGAGCCAGATAGAGACCTTGAACCTCATGAGCTTGGGGCGAAGGCATGAGGAAATGTATCGGAGCGCAGGGGGCATAGTCCACTTGAGTTCAATTCAATGATGGAAAAGTTGTCAAGAATATGTAACCCCAGCATGAAACGACGATGAGTTTCTAGCTAGCTGCCTCCACGATCTTAGAGCTGAACACCGAGATCGATACCGGCGACCGGCGATGTGACAGCAACACGGCCATCCGACTTTTCAGTGTTCTTAACGCGCAAAATTTCAGAGGGCAGTGTGGACCGGCCAGGCCAATCTTCTCTCGAAACTGCACATGGAGCGAAATATAGCCAGACAGGAAAATGGATCTGCAATCAGCCCTTGGACTCCTGCGGAATCTGAGTGAGAATATGCCGAAGGGATTATCCAAGTTGAGTTGACTGTAATGATGATTTCCAAGATCTGGGAACGTCCATTCAAAGGCATGATTGTCAAACAGATGACAACAGAAGGTGGAGCCATCAGGGACTGAAGGCTCCCATCATAAAACCCATCTCTGAAAGTTCTCGCTCAAGACCGCCGGGAGGCTTGTAGGAAAAGGACAGTCCAAGGTTCCGAGAAGGCTGTGCCTGTTGCAACTAATGATCTCCTCTTCACTCTAGAGAATCGTAGCTCTGTTGGGGATGATATGTCGATCGATCAATGCGAATACAAACAGTGAGGTCTCTTGCGCGCCAGAGGCTTCATCATGCGGTGATAAGTCTTGAAAATTCAGCTGACACAAACACTGGAGAGCAGGTAACAAATAAGGATCGCGAATATCACGTACCAACTTTTAAAGAAGTACCTTCGATTCCTGGTCAAACAAGAGTTCAGGAAGAAGGAAGCTTGATGCACTGAGTGTCATGGGTTCTGTAGGCAATCTGCAAACAGGAACAACCGGGATCTGAACAGTGCTTGGTGCATGATCTCGTAGGTATTTTGGTGCAGTGCTGGGTTGGGTCAATATGGAATCATGGAACGCTTCAGGGGCTTCCACGATGGGGGTTGCTTGGCTGTCGTTATGATATATGTACTAAACACACGTGCGGCGCGGTAGCTCTCACCACTGTACAAGTACTCTAACTGTACATACCTAGGTACTTGCATAACGGCCAGTTGAGAATTGGCTCACACGCGCGTCTGAACATAGGTACTAGGTAAACATAGAAGGTCAGTGCTCCAGGTAACCCAAATCCTTCTCAAGCTCATATTCCTACCCAAACCCACCACTAACCCAACAAATTTCCACACATTAGTCGCCCCAACTTTGGTTCATCTCCACGATTGCGGTTTTCTTCCTTCATTCCATCCACGATTGTCTAATACACCATCAACGCAAAAGTGCCCAGGAATGTGGCCTACAAGCTACAACCGCCATGGATAAACTGCCAGTGGAATCAGCATTCCATGGCTTCGTGCCATATGTTGACCACGGCGATTTCAAGACTTCGCGGCAAGTGAACAAGCATTTTGCTAAAATGATCACGCCGCTTAGGTTCACCGTCCTTCGATTCCTCAGCCCTGGACATAGGACCAACCCCAAACCAACTCTTAAATTCTCAGAGCTACAGGAAGCAGTCGCCGAGGTTCTTCCCGCAATAGAATCAGTTGAGAAGCTCACATTCTCCCCCGCATTCAGCCAGAAAGGTTAGTCCAGGATGCTGAGTTCCCCTGCTTTCAGTCGCTGACAAGGGATCAGGGAGATGCGGTGAGCATCAGGTATTCTTAGGAGCGCCTGCTTCGGAGCCTATAGATGAAGCTCACCTGCCATGTAGCCCCGACGAAGAAATAAACGCTTCAGAACGCTATGCGCTGTATCAAGCTCGCATGCAAGCTGTTGAGGATGCTTATTGGGCTCGAGTAGAGAGACAGAGACAGCACATCGTTGAGGCAGAAGAGGCTTGGAAGGAGAAAAGCCACGAACAGGAACAAGCAAGTGGAGATGTCGAGGCTTCCCTTCAAGAACTATTCCAACACATGCCGCGTCTGCAAGAGCTCGAGGTCCGCCCGTGGGAGTTTAATGACTGGGACGGCCTTCTATCCGATTAGTGCGCACTCTCCTGTCCATAGCTTTGAGCCCTCGAAATTGCTGACCGAAGAGTAGCTACCAAACCGACGGGCCCTATGTCAACTTGTCGGTCGCTGTCATACTAGACACTATTTCCAAATCGCTTGAGAAAAGCAACCGACACATTGAGAAGCTGATCGTCCACGCTTTCAATCCTGAGCTGGCCAAGGACTCACCTGCAATGCGCCATACTTTCACAGGTCTACATCATCTTTCATTGGGTATCGACCTCGTGGACTCTCTCCTAGAAGACGCTCCTACAAACAGGGTTATACCCGCATTGCTCAAATGCTCCCAGCACACATTGCAACATCTAGAAATATTCAGCGGTGGAAAGTTTCCCCAGTTTCCGAGCCAAGGTGTACATTTCTTAAGTAAGGTTCTCAACGACGGAGAGACAGACAAAGCCCTTTGCTTGCCCAACCTCCGGACTTTGCGCCTTCGTTCACTTTTAGTCGACACGAAGTCTCTGCTTGATTTCGTGACTGCTCAACCCAAGCTCTCTGATCTCAAGTTTGGGCACGTGTGTCTGGTTACACCTGGCATGGGATGGGTGTATCTGGTTACTCACCTCCCCAAAGCTGTGCAGAAGTGGGAAGCATTTGGAAAGCTAGGTCACGAACCAGTTACCGATTTTGAACGAGTTGTCTCTTCTAGTGCTTGCATCGAGTGGGATTATTATAATCAACCAATTCCCGCGGGGACAAGCTGGGAGGGACGAGACACAGGCATGGAGACTCAATTCAGGAGAATCGGAGCTTGGCCAGCAGATCAACCGGATGGCTTCGTTACCCCTCGGGCTCCCCAAATTACGGCGCCTTTCCCTGAGGTGTTTGTCAACCTTCAGTGGCCCCCTTCTATTCCCCCTTTGGATGGACAGTGATCACATTCTTGTTGGAAAATGCTTGAGTAGGTAGTCGGCTAGGCATCGAGGGCATGAGTGGGATCGTTTTTATGGGATTTATAAGATCTATTGTGAATTGAGGATAGGTCTACCTTCTTGTATGAAATGGAGATTCTCCAGACTGGAGCAATTCGGCGAGTAGTAAGCTAGAGAGTTGAAATCTTGCATTTCAGGAGTGAGATTTATCGGTTGCAACTCAACTGAATTATTATTCAACGAGCATGCTCGTGAGAAATGTAATTTCCCTTACGTATCATTGTTGAGAGATCGTTATATTTGGCTTCTTCAGCTGCGTCCCCTTCTATTAGAAGAGGAGTGGCCTTGGATTGGGACGATCTAGATACCGGAAATTCAGGTCAAACTCATATCATTGTATAAGCCGTACCTCAATAAACTAAAAAGTATCGGCCGCCTGGTGAGCCTGTTCCTTAGGTGCCAGTTATCTCACTGATTCTCTGCCCCGCCGGTGCTGCTTCATCTGCCAAACGCCGGCGCCTGGCACACGCGTACACGCTTCGCAAGGCAGGCACCTCCTGGGCGCCTTCCCCCATCCTTCACTCGCTACTCCCCCAAGTACAAAGTGACTTCCTCTTCCCCTCAGGCTTCCAAATGATTCCATCGACTCACTTGTAGAAGAAAAATCAGGTGATCTAGCCCTAAGTGTCGGCAAAGCACCTACCTAGAGCCTACAACTACCTGAAATCCACAACCCACTTTCTTTCTCTCTTTCTTCTTTTCTTCCTCACTCACACTCCCTCCTCCATCCCCCTCCTCTCCCCATGATTTCCACGTCAGAACCGCTGCGAGCCTCCACCAGAGTTTCCTCTGGCTTCACCCTTTGCAGGCATAGTTCACCTTCTTTAGGATTCGGGCCCGTATGCTCTTACTCAAATCCATCCGAGAAAACATGCTCGATTACAAGCGCTGTTCTACAAGAGAGAGCCTTGTGCCCTGAGTAGGTACGTTGAGATGTCGGGTCTGGCATCTTCCATTGCTATTTTCACTTTGTACTCAAACTCTCACACCTGTGACCCGAGTACAGGTAACTGAAGCGAACTGAGGGAATACCAGGATCGGTCGCAGGCGCTGTCCTATTGGGCAGCGCCCGCGATCCCCGTACTGGTCGGCAGGTTGGCACTGCCATTTCAGAGGCGACTACAAGCGCTGTTCTATTGGGAGCGCTTGCGGTCCGCCCCATGATTGGGCGTGGGAGGGTACGTGCTTTCGACTCGACATTCCTGTGCATTTTCATCATTCGAGACAGAGATCTATCATCTAACCATGGGTTTTAGGATGCGGAATTGTGGAGTACGAGACACATTGGTGACGACCACGAATACCGGCTGTTGTAAACTGACCCTTGCCTGGGTCCTGTTCAGGTGAATGATGTTGAGTTTCTTCCAGTTTTCTACGATCTCTAACCAATTACAGAAGTCCTGAACAAAACGATAATCTAGTCCTTTCGGAACTGATGGGCCGCCATGAAGAAGCATTGTATCCACAGGAAACAAACAAGACTTCCCAAGACTACGCTCAGAAAGATCTGAAAGGCCCGAAATAATGGAGGATTTGTTGTACCTGTAGTGGTCAACGAATAACCTCCCCTTTTTAACTATCCACCCTTGGTTTTCTTAAGTGAAAATAGCCCAATCTTCTCATCTCAAGCAATTAACTAATCATCAGGATAGAAAACACGCTCAAAGAACAGGAGTCTCTGAGAATACTGCAGAATTTCGAACTGACCACTTCTCCGAAATCAATAATGGCCGAGGCATGGATGACAGCAACTGTGAACCATCTATCCAGCTTATTTGCATTCCTGGTCCCACAACACGCTCGCCCAAACCTGCAATGCCTCCAACATCTGATCTGGCGACTAGATTTGCGAAGCCAAATTTCGGCTTACTTCCCTCTATTTCAAAAACCAAAAAAAATAGCAGTGAATACTTCAACTGAAGTATACTTTCATTATCTAGGTTCATTATCATAAAAGCCTTTTAACATCGCCAGCATCCCCTCGACTTGCAACGATCGCATCATGCAGCAAGTGAATGAGATGATCTACTGCCTACCCTATACTACCCCGATGAGTCACCAAGCTCCATCATCGGTCCTCGAAGCCCTTCCATGCTGCATGGGCAACCCTGCTATAGGAATGAGGCTGTATTGAAAGACCAGAATCACTCTTCTTGAGGAAGTGTTCTGGGAGCTGCGACAGGCTTTCGACAGTCGTGCGCATCGAGCTATCGAACCCGACTTGCTGTTTCAGTCCACCCTTACGAAATCGATGCAAATTCTTTAAACATCGTTTGTCTTCGTCGCGGGAACCCGCAATGGACCCAATCGACCATCTACTCGCCTGGGCCGACGTCAAAGGTATTGTTCTCAATGGGATACGGCCCAGAGTCTTGCCAGGACGCGGTATAGGTATTCTTGCGACTCGCGATCTCAAGGTAAGGGCGCAGTCCTGAGCGCCATGAGATGGCCAAGTCAGCGCCATCGAGATGCTAATGCAGTGCATCTAGGCCAATGAAACCATTCTATCAGTACCGTCGAATGCCTTGCGCACTCTGGACAACACATCGAAGTCTATCACTGAGGCTCTCCAAGGGGCTACCGTCCACGCAATCCTCGCTACAGCACTATGTCTAGACTTTCACGACACACCGGATGACTTTGCGATCTGGAAGGCCGTCTTTCCCTCGCTTCAAGATATCATAACCAGCATGCCCCTCTGCTGGCCGCAAGAGCTTGTCGCCCTCCTACCCCCAAAGGCTCAGACTCTCCTCTCCAAGCAGAGTGCCAAGTTCGACAAGGACTGGTCTGTCGTCTCCTCCGTCGCAGCAAGCCTGCCCGCCGGCATCACTCGGCCACAGTTCCTCTACGCCTGGCTCCTCGTCAATACACGTACCTTTTACCACACCACCCCGGCTACAAAGGCCAAGCTGCCCAAGGAAGACCACATGGTCCTCCAGCCGGTCGCAGACCTCTTCAACCACTCCCCAGACGGCTGCTCCGTTGCCTTTGGCCACAAAGGCTTCCAGATCACCACGACCCACGCCCACAAGGCCGGCGATGAGTTGTTCATCCGCTACGGCTCCCACTCAAACGACTTCCTCCTCGTCGAGTACGGGTTTACCATACCCTCCCCCGAGAACCCATTCGATGAGACCGCCTTGGACCCGTACCTCTGCCCGCGCTTCACCCCCGCCCAGAAGGAGCTGCTCGAGGAAGAGGGCTTCTGGACCGGGTACATGCTCGACTCCCAAACGGCTTGCTACCGCACCCAGACTGCCCTCCGCCTCCTCTGCCTCCCCGAGTGGCAGTGGCGCGCCGTCCTCGACGGCCAGCGCGACGAGGACGAGGACGGCCCCCTCGTTGATGCCGAGCTGCTCAAGCTTCTGCGCAAGTACGAGAAGGACGCGCGCGCCACCGTGACGGAGATTGACCAGCTCGACAAGGTGGGCGAGGGCGAGTCGCGGCGGCTGCTGAGGGAGCGGTGGATCGAGATCCGGCAGCTGATTGATACCAACGCGGCGCGGTTATCCCAGCAGTGAAGATGCAAGGAACGAATCAAATAAAAATCGACAGCCGTTCCCCACACCAGCGGAGGAGAAAACGCGGTGAAAATATGGTCGATCGCTTTAGGTCTGTTGGTCGTCACGCGCGAGAGGACAGAGAGAGACACGAGACATGTTTTGAATTGTCACCACGTGGTGCCACTCAGATGGCGCCCCCCCGTTGCTTTCCTTATTGCTGTATGGTCTACGCACTGCGAGGAGATACGCGCCAAGATAATTACAGGTAGCGTTTTCGCAGAAGCAAGGAACAGACTGGGTGCCCAACTTGACATGTGAGATAGAGAGAGATAGAGAAGAATCAAGAAAATACAGATAGCCCTCTGTGATTACGCCAAACTCGTTGAAATGCCTTCTGCCCCTTTTCGTCGTAAACTTCCTATGATACATACGTTCGGTAACTGGTTTGCGCGAACAGAAATAAAAAAAAAATTGAAAAATCCCCTCCTACCAGTGAGCTGTCCGGGGCATGGAAGGGATGGGATGAACACCATCGCCAGGTGTCCGTTCCAGGATCCCGAAATTATGACTTCCCCCTTGGTATATGCAGGCGTCGATTTTCCCCTAGCGATTTTCTGAAGGAAGTCAGGAGCAACAGCAAATGTCCAGATACCCAGATCACTCGGGTCGGGGCCGCTTTGCTCCATGAGGATTTCCCCAATCGCCGCTGTTGCTGCCGCCGCCGCCGCCGCCGCCTTGGTTCTGGTTGAAGCCGCCAAAGCCGCCGTTGAAGTTGCCAGGCATGCCTTGAAAACCTGTAGAAATATGGTCAGCACATGGATAAACAGACTAAGAATAGTAGTACGCTGGCGGGTTTGACAACAGCCATCCGCGGTATACAGCACCATGCCGGATATTCGACCAGTTAAGCGTATACCACACATGCGCCAGAGTGAAGAAAGGGAAGGGGAAGCATACCTGGTCCCATCATGCCCATAGGCATGCCCATTCCCATCCCCATGGGGTTCATCATCATACCTCCCCGGCCGCGCATGTTGGGTCCACCTCGCATACCGCCCATCATGCCTCTGTTGTTGAAACCATAGTTGCCGTTGCCATTATGCCCATTAAAGCCTCCTCCTCCACCCATCATGTTGTTGTTGTATCCCATGTTGCCCCCGCCGCTGAAGTTTCTGTTATAGTTGTTCTGGTTCATGTTACCGCGGCCGCCGTTGAAGCCGCCGCGCCCCCTGGAAAAGCCACCTCCGGTGTTGTAGTTGCCTCGTTCATTGTACGAGCCCGAAACACCACCCCGAGTCTGATCTTTGCCTCGTGCCGGAGCATCCTTAGGCAGCGTCCGGAAAGGGTTGATGTTGGGGTTCCAGTACTGGGTAGAGATCTTCTTCTGGCCGAGGTGGCCGCCGTCAGCTGGCATCTTGTCAATAAGGTGCTTGGCTGCCG